GAGATTTGCAGTAAGGCTTGATGAATTGTGGTGTGATTGTGGCAAGTTCCAGAAAGTTCATATCCCTTGCTCACATGTACTTGCTTCATGCTTACATGCACATCATGACTATGAAAGGTACATATCTCCCATATATACCTTACAACAAGTTGCAAAGGTATACGAAGGACAGTTTGGAGAGCTTCGACATGAAGATTATTGGCCTACTTACACTGGTCCAACTTTGTGGCCAAATCCAGAACTGAAGAGAACTTCGAAGGGTCGACCAAAGTCCACCAGGATTAGAACAGAGATGGATATTAGAGAACAACATACTCATGTAAAAAATTGTTCTTATTGTCACACTCCTGGTCACACTAGGAAGACATGTCCGAATATTAGTCATGGATGTAGTTCCCGCCAACATTGATCATTATTGTTGTAATCAGTTGTAATAAATTTATTTAGTTATGTAATATTAAAGTTAATTACTTGGTGTTAGTATCGGATACTACGTTGTGTTTGTGTTGAAATCGTATATTGTGTTCGCTACAATACTTATAATTATAATAGTTTATAACCTTCTTAGTGCATTAAATGTAAAAATGCATAACATTAAAATTCATATTACATTGATAAAGACATATAGTACATTAAAATAAAAAAACAATAACATTAACATAGAGTGATTTATATACATTTTTCAATCTCCGTAATGATCTCCAGTTCCACAACGAGGGCGACGTCTATTACGGCCTAGATTACGTCGTGGAGGTTGTTGCTCAGAAGGATTTGGTTCATCATCAACCACTGGATGTTGAAATGGTGTTGAAGAACTTCCAGGTTCATTATCGAATTCTGGTCGATAAAGAGATCGCATGTATGATTGTGCTGAAGATGGAGTTCTAAAATCTACTCCAAACAAATTTGTATAAAAATCCTCTGAAGTTGTTGCAAATGAATGTCGTCTGTCAATTATAGGAAAACTAGCGTTTTTACTGTTTGCCCAGAATGGACCGTTCCAAAACCAGAACGGCCCGTTCCAAACCACGTTCTAATTCGTAAAAATGTCTTCTGGAACGGGCCGTTCCAGAAGAAAAAAATGTTTAAATTTCTATGCTGGAACGGCCCGTTCTAAAACAAGAACGGCTCGTTCCAGATTAAAAAAAATAACTCAAATCTTTCTTTAAAACAGGCTGTTTCATGGGTCATTTTTTCCTTTAAAACTTAATTCCGGAACGGACAGTTCTTGGTCCGTTTCAATTTTAAAAATAAATACTCTGTGGCTTTAAGCAGAACGGCCCGTTTTGCTTTCGGAACGGGCTGTTCCACTTCCAAAATTTGCCCAAATTGGCCCACAAATGCAGAAAAAAAAAAATTAAAAATAACTCAGAATTCGGTTCCCGAGGAACCGAATTCTAAGAAGAAAAAAATATATATATAGAAGCTCAGAATTTGGTTCCCCGGGAACCGAATTCTGAGCATGCACAATAAAAGGATTAATCCAATAAATAAAGTTGTTCAGGTGTTAAATGTGTAATTTTTCTTTTAAAAAATATTATTTAGGTAAAAATTTCTTAAATGGTCATGACTTTATAATATTTTTTTATGTCCATGAGTAGATTTGGTGGGTCAAGTCAATCATTATTATTACATTTCTTTTCAGTTTTCTTTTTTATGCATACTTTGTATATGTGCATTTCTTTTTGTTT